TGATATTCACTGTCATTTGCTATTTGTGAACATCTCCCCCTTCGCTATTGATCTATTTTTTCTGCAAAGCAGTTCTCCAACAGAACAGTGTGCAGAAATGCCGATATTAGGGGAGTGTGCATAAAAAGAGGCAATCAGCATTGAATTCAGAGACTACTCTGTATATGCTTTGTAGAATGAAGGCAGAGGAAGTACAGCTGACCCTACAACAGAAAACCTCTGCTTGCTCCACACGTTTTCTTGCCCTGCTGCTTTCCCCACCCCCTGGGTTGAAACCACTCTTTAGACTCAGTTGGGACAAAAAGCATTTTGGGTTTCCCATTTGTTCCAATCCATCACTAACGAGCAGGGTTTCCCTTGGAAATGAGTGGAGCAAGCAGAAACCTGCTTGGATGCGTGCCTAGAAAGCGTGTGTCAAGTAAAAAACCACTTGGACCCATGCTTTTAGGCACGGCAGAAATGGAAATGTGGGTGAGCCACACTTGTTTGCTCCACAAATGGGAGCAATCACAGCCTCAATCCTCACAACCTAAATCTCTGAGTGGAGGGAAGGTACATTCTTGACTTTAGGATAACCTTTTTCAAGATGAATTCATCCATGTATTTGGGATGCAGAATAGGTTCTTTACTGAGGTCACACATAGGCTCTGAACTTCCTACCTTGGGTGTTCTACCTTGCCAGCTTTCTGGTGGTCTCTTTGAAGACTGGCATTTGGCCTTCCTAGCTGTTAATTCTAGCTCACCTGGCATACGAATCCTTGAATTTAAGCTATTCTTATTGCTGTGTCTTCTTTATAAGCTGCTATTGCTTACTGCTACTGTGTCTTTTATTGTACTTTAATGCTGATTTGTGAGCTATTTTAAACATTTTATTGGAAAGCCAGGATATAGTTATTTTAAATAAATAAGAAATAAATTTGGGATTAGAGGCAAGGGCACAGGCTGCGGTATTTAGGTAGGCTTCAGTCCCCTGCTTCCTTGATTTTTATAAACAATTTGCCACTAAAACTCAAGAGAATGAGTAATTTTCTGGCCGAAGTCAGTGCTATATTTTTAGAAGAAAGTGGTTTTAGCTCCAGCATGAAGGACTTTTCATTCTTTTTGAAGTTTCTCTGCTCAAGGAGGAGAGCTGCAAGTGCCAGTCAAGCTCTCTAACCTCCGTAAGCACCTCCTGGTACATTGCAAAAGATGGGGACAGCCACCAGTGCTGCTGCTGCTGCTGACGCCACACAAAGAATTTGTAACTCTGCATGTCGAGATGACATTTATAGGGCTCTCAAATTGGAAACTGTACATTTTATTACACTCCCTGTCAAAAAAATGCAGTTCCATCAGAGGTTAGAACGACAAGGGAAACCAACCAATCAATATTGGGGCCTCTAATATCTAGGCTGAACAAAAAATCATTAACCTGTTACTTTTATGATGGCGTTCTGCTTGAAATAAGGTACTTTAAAGTACTTTCCCATTCCCCAGATGATTTTTAAAGGAGAATCTTTCCTTTCTCCCTTCTTTTTCAGGCACCCATTGGGCTTAAAAGACTTGTTGGGTGGGGAAGAAGCAGCATATTTTATTTATCTATTTTGGATTTTTCTATCACCAGCCCTATGGCTGTTAATGCATAACCAAACATCCCAGTGGCAAGGGAATAGCAGTGGTGATATTTTTTTACTTCATCACTCAATTTGTGTGACGTAGATCAGGGAGAGTTGTTATACCTCTGGAACCTGACTAGTAAAACAACCACTGGTGGTGTATGCCTCTGGTAATGACAGGCAGAATTAGCAATGTTGTTTGGGATGAACTTGCACAATTGATGCATGCAAGACTTGCTACATTATCTTCTTGAACATGGTTTTCCCTTTTCTTACTTACAAGATTCTTCCTCACGAAAACTTAGAAAGTAAAGGTTCCTATTATGCAGTTATTATATTTCCCCCATCCCTTGAGGCCTCAAGATGTGAAAATCTCTCCAACTCCACACCATTGCTGGAGCATTCCTTCTTTTCAGAATTTATTTCCACCCCAGTGTATACCAGGGGTGGGGAACCTGTGGCCTTGCTATGCTGTTGGGATTCCAACTCCCATCAGTCCCTACCAGTAAGGCCAATGGCCAGGAATGATGAGAACTATAGTCCACTATAGTCCAGCAACATTTCCAGGGTACAGGTTTCCCCACCCCTCCTTGAGTACATCTAAGTCTTTTTAAAAAAAGGGGGGAGCACACCTAAATATTTAAAGTGTGGATGTGGCAAATAGGTGTTTGAAAACCTCAGACTTTCTTTGATATGTAACCTAGTTATTTATGGAATATCACGTGTATCTGCATAAATTATTTCATTGTACGTTTGGCTGCGTACACACAAACCCATTTGTAGCACAAAAATGTAGTTTTTTCTCAATCTAGAATTGTTCATGCTCATCCTCAACATGCTGCTTTCAATCTAGATCTATATCCTGCTGTCCACAAACTGCTTTTCAGGGGCAAACAAATATTCAATAGATCTAGATTGTGTGTAGACTGTGTAAAAAACAACAACATCCTAGTACTCAGTCTCCATTGATTCTAGAAGAAAATGTTTGTATTCATATTTTGTGTTTTGTTCTGTTTTTGTCTTGTGCACCATATTTACTTAAATAAGTAAACAGAGGTACAGTTGTCACTGAGCCAGGACTGTCAACATGTTAAACTGGATGGCACGGTGGCAGGCATGTTTCTTCCCACATAGCCATCTCATTCACATGCAAAGTAGTGGTGGTGTCTTAATTTAAGAGTACAAGGTTTCCAAGGGAGAGGGGGTACTGTCAGAACACACACACACACACACACACACACACACACACACGTGCATTCGTTCTTCTCAGATGCTTCAGATAGTTTCCCCTTGCGATGTGATGTTGCTGAAATTCATGATTACTTATTTCAATATACAAATTTGTCCAGCTTGTAATGTTCCGCTGCATTACAAATTGAGCATCATTTCCCTGAGATGTCTTTCTCCAACTCTACACATGGGTTGTCAGAGTTCAGCAGACCGGGTGCCCAGAGCCAGCTGCTCTGTAGAAGAGGCATGTACACAAGTCCTTTAATACCATTTACTCTTGATGTTGTTCTCATTGACTGTTGCGAACTACAAAAAATAGCCATGCCATAGCTAGAGTTACAGGGAGTGGTTTTAGGACAGATGAGACCAAAGTAGCACACAGCACCAACAGCATGTGCTGCATTAGGAGCTGAGTGAGATCTCCAGGAAAACAGGTGAGCTTCACCCTCCCATTGCTCACCGAGAAAACTTCTAGATAACACTTCCAAAGAAAGTCACCGGGAATCTGCAAAGTATTGGAAGACACAAGAGCTACCCACACTGGAGGAATGGCAGATGAAATTGATGGACTATGTGGAATTGGCGGAAATGACTGGCAGAATCCGTGACCAGGGAGAAGAGTCGGTGGATGAAGATTGGAAAAAATTTAAAGATTATTTACAGAAATACTGTAAAATTAATGAATGTTAGAGTGATGTTGGATTGAAATGAAGTGGCTTCTAGCTGTACAGGCTTTAAAGTTATATATAGATCAAGATTAAAGATTAGGATTAAAAAAGTTAAAAGAAATGGAAAATTGGCTTTTAATAGGTTAAAATTTAAGGATATATTATATTAGATTAAGGATTGGGATTAAAAAGGAGGGAAAGGAATTGCTGAACAAACAAATTGAATCGGAATACAAAAGAGGGAGGTATGAGGAGGTCCAGGAAATAAGTTAATGTAAAAGTTATGATGAAAAGATGGAATTGTTTTTAATTGTCTTTTTTCTTTTTCTTTTGTATTTTGTATGGTGTATTTCTTTTTTTATTGTTAAATTTCTTTTTTTATTTTTTTTTCTTCTCTTATTAAGATGTCTTTTATTATGTGAAACTTCAATAAATATCATTAAAAAAAAAAAAAGTCACGGGAATCTGACTGTAACTACTTTTTCTAAATTCCCAGCTCACTTACGGCATTAAGAGCTGGGAAGGGGGGGAAGTCGTTGAAGAAACTGACAATGGGGAGGTGAAGCATGGGACAGAACAGGCTGAGCACTTCCCCAGGGGTGGCCCATCCTGCTTTGCCACCTAAAGTGAAACAGGATGGTGCTCCCCACCCCTGCCTCACTTAACAGGGTTGTGTAGCAGCAGTGGTTTCTGCAGAGATCTTGTGGCACTCTCACAACATCTTGCCAGAAGCTGCAGCCATGTAACCCCTGCAGTGGCAGGTGTGGTGCCTGCAGGGGCACTGCCTCATGGACTTTTGCCGCCAGAGGCAACTGCTTCAGTCCACCTCATGGGCGGGCCAGCCCTGCACCTCCCCCTCCAATATGCACTTTTTAATGTTAAAGTAAAACACTTGAACCCCACTGCTATATATATGAACAGGCTAGACACGTGAATTATGACCCTGTCACACCTTAACTTTGTTCTATGGTTTCCTGTTTAATGTACACACATTAGCAAACCCAGGCTTCTTGAACTGGCTGGAACGACCCCATGGCTCCCTTTTCTACCTGTCCAAGAATGTGTCTTATTTGTGTAAATGGTAGTCAGAGAAGGAAGGTCACTGCTGAGTCTGAACCTTAACCGTGCTGACTATCTAGCTCATGTCATTTACAGATTCTACAAGACTCCTAAGCCCCATTAGAATGGATTCTTCCAAAACTTCTGGAAAACATGATGGAGAGGGAAACTCCTGCAACTCTAGTGAACTCTCTTGTGTTTCTCCCACCCCTAATCCCTGCACACATTAGCCTCTCATTGCAGCAGCATTCAGTGCTGTGAGAAATACAAACTTAATAGTAACAGCAGAAAAAATAAGGGAAACCTTACTAAGTTGGGAAAAATTCATGGTTAAGGCCACAAATGAAGTGTGCTTAAAGTTACCAAATCAACATTTTAAAAATAAGGTATGTGATGATGAAGAAAGACTCTCCCAAGAATATTAAAAAAAAAAAAAAGTCCAGTAGCACCTTAGAGACCAACTAAGTTTGTTCTTGGTATAAGCTTTCGTGTGCATGCACACTTCTTCAGATTTCATGAATGCACATGAAAGCTTATACCAATAACAAACTTAGTTGGTCTCTAAGGTGCTACTGGACTTTTTATTTATTTATATATATATATTGACTGCATCAGACCAACACACCTACCTACCTACCTGAATCTCTCCCAAGAATGTCAGAGACAAAGCAAAATCAGATCCACCTGCTTCCAACTGCAGATGCATAAGCCCTGATATTTTAGGCCAACACCCTCTCCATTGACACTAGAAAAGAGAGCTCCTGACCTCAGTTTCTTCTTCATTTTATTCATTACGCTTGAGCTGCTCTACAGGCTCAAGTCTAAAATCTTTCAAGACCTCATATGAGACCAATCTAAATGCTTCGAAGTAACAAAGTTTCTTAACAGGAAACTTTTGCTTCCTGTCAGCAAGGTAAATAGATTACCATCATAAGATCACTACCACAAAACTTAGGCATACACACTAACCCATTTTAAACACAAAAATGTAGAATCGTTCGCGCTCATCCTCAACATGTTGCTTTCAATCTAGATTGATTCTAGATCCTGCTGTCCACAAGAGTGGGGGCAAGTCTGTGATTTTGTTTAATAACTGTCCCCTTGGTTAGGTTATCCATGCCCTTTCCTCCCCTCACATGCCCCAAGTGAATGATGAGCAAAGTGGTGGTCACTATCTTGGTACAGGTCTAATTGCAACGCCATTGGTCAGATGTATTCACATCTCCCATTGCCAAGACCGCCTACACCTGTTTTTATTTGTTTCAAATGGACACATTTATTTTCTGAATGAAAACAGTTTCTCAAGAAGCACTTTTCAGGGACAGAAAATATGGAATAGGTTTAGATTATCTGTGGACTATACGGGGTGGGGTGGGGGACACACAAGTACTCCATCTCCACTGATCCCAGAATAAAATGTGTGTACGCAGCCATATCCCAGCTTTTAAGAAAATGTAGCTTTAAAAAAGCCTTTATTAAAAAATGTGAGAGATGGGAGCTGTATCAAGAAGGCTCTATGATACTGAAAGCAGGCCCTCTGAGCTAGATCTTAAGGTACTGGCCGGATTATATGCAAACACTCATTTATGTAACCTAGTCCCAAGCTGTTCAGGTTTTAAAAGTTAACAACCAGCACTTTGAGTTGTGCCCAGGATTGTATTCTAAACAGTATTGGCTAAAAAATCAGGATAGCATATTATGATCACCTGGCCGGCCCTCACCACAGCTGAGAACGGGATTCTGTACCAACTGGAAGATTCATAACAATTAAGCTCATAGACCAGGGGTAGGCAACCTAAGGTCCGTGGGCCGGATGCAGCCCAATCGCCTTCTCAATATGGCTCGCGGACGGTCCAGGAATCAGTGTGTTTTTACATGAGTAGAATGTGTGTTTTTATTTCAAATGCATCTCTGGGTTATTTGTGGGGCGTAGGAATTCGTTAATTTTTATTTTTTTTCCAAAATACAGTCTGGCCCACCACATGGTCTGAGGGACGGTGGACCAGCCCATGGCTGAAAAAGGTTGCTGACCCCTGTCATAGACTGTCACTTCTCTTTCAGCCTAACCTACCTCACACGGATGTTGTGAGATAAAACGTGATAAACTCTTCTATGCTGCCCTAAGCTTCTTGGAAGAAGAGCAGGATACAAACGTGAAAAATCAACATAAATCTGTTTTGGATTTTCACCCTGTAGGCTTGGATGCAGAACGTGCTAACGTTTAGAACCATTTGCATTTTGAAAGGGCAGCAAAAGGGATGAGGCACAGCAAAGTCACTGAGAAGGAAAAAAGAGAGAAGAGGAAAGGCAGATCAATTGGCACAATCCATCAAGCCACAAGAAGTCTAAATAATCCAGGATATCAACCAGGCTGATATATAGCTGATTTCAACGAGAGAAACCCTTAACAAGGCAGCTGTTCCGATGGCTGCTGAATCACAAACTGTCTCAGCATACGCTGGATTGAGGCACGAGGGCTCAACTCCATTCATCACAGACCTGCCCTAATGACCGAGCTTATTAGTAAACATTCCATGGGCCTGACAATCCACAGCTGTGCATGGAGCAGGCTTCAGAGAGGCAGCTTCTGAATGTAAAAATAAAAAAATAAAATAAATCCGAGTGTTGCCTTTCTGGCATTTATTTCAGTACTACTGAATATTGCCATAGCATCACTTTTGAAATACAATACAAGTGCTCCTCCTTATGAAATAATTACTGTGACCCAGAATGCAATCTGCATGCTGAAACAGGTTTCTTCAGGCTGGTAGACTATACCATGCATCAGTCCAAATAACCAATCCATATAAATAAACAGCCAGTTCCCATCAAACTCCAACATCACACCAACAAATGGAACTCAAGGTAGAGTAAGGAGTGCAGCTATGTATATGTTGGTTCAAGTCTCTGTGGTTTCCCATAGCGCCACTGGGCAAAGAAAATGGGATGCAATCTAGGAGATGGCTGAGGTGTGGCAAAAAGATACCTTCATCTCAGGGGCAGATACAGCTTCCACCCTACGGTCCCCACCTGCATCTCTGTACTTTCTTCCATGATTCCCTCTAACAGCAAATTCTAGCAGCTGTTTCTAGGAGAAAGAGTTAAAAGAGTTAAAAGAGTTGCTGACCCCTGTCATAGACTGTCACTTCTCTTTCAACCTAACCTACCTCACACCTTGAGAAAGAAGAGGGCAGTGCCAGCATGCTCAGCAGAATCCTGGGGCTTGCAGAACTACAAATATTCTTTAAAAATCAAATGGGTAACCTTAAACAAACAAATGAAACGCTGAGGAAAGAGGCTATTCAGTTGCCATGGAAAGTTGAGAGTCAGTTGGTAAAGAAAAATGAAAATTTTGGGTGGGGAGTAGGGATGGTTTTGGTTTCTTTCAGTTTCTAAATCCAGTTCCCCACATTTCCACATCCGTTTGCATTTTTTTCCTTAAAAAGTCCTCATGAAAATACATCAGCATTTTTGTGTGAATTTACCCTAATATATACATGTTTGTATGCCATTTTCACTCATGTATATTTTTCTACACATGATTTGGAGAACTGTTTTTCAAAATTCAGAACGATGCGAAGTTGGAAGCATGTGTGTGTTGTGGTTCTTGTATTGTTTTGGAAAGTGCAAATTAGGTAGGTTCACTTTTAAATGTGAAATGAATCAAATTTCTTCCCCATCCCATGGGGAAAAGTGGAAAACACTGCTTGGAGGAAATGGCTGACTGGAACTCTGAACAGAAATACTCCTGTAAAGTGAAAGGATACACTTAAACATTTGATTGGAGGCCTTACATGTATAAGTGAACAGGCTACCATTCATTTATAGGAGGAAAAATAAAGTACTGCACTAGGAGACAAAGTTGTGCTGGGAGCAAAACCTACTTGCCATTCTGAAAGAGGTCCCAAGAGGAAAGATACAATCTTTCCCTGTGCAATAGGGCACACAGAAACAAATGGCATCGTCCTACGCAGGCATCTATGTAACATACAGGCCCTCTCTCGACACACAATTATCACCTGTCATAAAGATAAGTACTTCAATAGGAAAGGATAAAAAACCACAAGCCCTTCATTCCCTGTCCTGCTGAGGATGCCAACACCTCAGACATGTAGACAATGGTCAGGCATCCTTTGCAAAACACTTCAGAGCAGCTACAATGCAACATACAGCCCCTCACTTAGCAAAAGTTCCCATTCCCCCCACCTGGCCCCCTGCCCTCAGCCATGCACCTTCAGGTCTATAACCCATCGGATTAGCTGAAGGCTGCCTGATTGCTGCAGTTTCAATGGCTTGTTGAGACCATCGATTGCCGGTCATGTCACCAGGAGAAAAGGATTAATAACGGATTGCTCAGGTTGGCTCAATACTGCTGATAGCGCCTGACAAAACACCGTTAGTAGCACTCCCGCCGGGACACTCTCTATGTAGGGGAGCCACAAGGAACATCATTCATGGTTTTGCAGAACAATGATTAACTCCAGATCTTCGCGCCAGGGGTGGGGGGATGAGGGGAGTCTCAACAAATAGTTACTATTATTTCCAAATAAATTCTGCTCCTTCTGTTCAGTTCATTGCTGTTTCAGGCAGAGGCCTTTAGAGAAAGAGAGAGAAAGATACCTGCTAGGGAGAAGATGCATTTTCTTTCAGGCCCCTTGATACTGTATAATCTGTCCCACAGGAAACATAGCTCTCAAACCCTTCTGAAATCTTGTTTAAAGAAAGCCATCAATTTGGTAAATTGGTTCAAGTTGGGTGTGTAGGAGGAGGAACCCAGAATCTGGGGAAAGCAACACAGAGACGGCAATCAGAAGGCTGGTGCTGACTTTATGACAGGCCTGGGTTTCCAAGCCTATGGCTGATCCTTTCTTCTCAGTATAATTTTTGTAAACTTTCCATGCCATCATAATTCAGCAAAAGACTTAGGTAGGCCTTGGAGTTGATAGCTAGATCTTAAAATGGTGTTCTCTGTATGCAATTCATTGCCACTCACCATTGGGCAAAGTTAATGTGCAACCCCTGACATGAACTAATATGTTTTTACATATCATCCTCTTTTTTCTGCTTGTGCTAATTGTGACTCACCATCACTAGTAAATCTGTTGCTGTGTGGAAAAGTGAGCTATGTTGCCCCATCGCTTCTTAAAGGGGTTTTAGGCAGCAGGGATAGGAAAGCCCTCTGCTTGAGAGACCACCACTGCCAGCCACGGCACAAATCCTATAACAGAACTCCTTGGGCTGATGTAGACTAAGTTACTTATAATTAGTTCCCACTGAAATAAAAGAGACTTGAGTCATTACTAGCTTGCTTCATTGATTTCAGTGGAATTAAATACAACTAACTTCCATACAGTGCAGTCCTGTGCATGTTTGCTCACTCAGAAGATCCATTGAGTTCAGCAGGCGTTGCTCCCCAATGTAGAACTAGCATTGGAAACAACTTCTCAAGTTTTAAGCACCACCAATTTGAATGTTTCCCTAATTGTTACCGCAATGGGGTGGCTTTAGTTTTCTTCATCACACACACTGTTTTGGAGCACGGACATTTATGTTTATATCCAGTGCTT